CACGTAAAGCAAAACCGCGTTAAGCTGTTCATGTGTTTGCCACAAAACGGGCAAAACATCCCTCGGCCGCAGTCCATGTTCGGGCGGTCACCATAAACTTATTTGACGCCATAAACTCCACAACAACAAAACGAAAAGACCACGCTCATCACTTCCATGTCACTTCCGGTATGTGGTACATTCCCTTTCCGTGAAGAATCTGTCATTTGTAAATTTGTTTCGGGACTGGTAAAAGTGTTTTGCGTCTTGTTAATTACATTTACATTACATTTTAGTCATTTAGCAGACGCTCTTATCCAGAGCGACTTACAGCAGCAATTAGGGTTAAGTGCCTTGCTCAAGGGCACATTAACGTCATTTAGCAGACGCTCTTAGCCAGAGCGACTCACAAATTGGTGCGTTCACCCCATAGCCAGTGGGATAACCACTTTACAATTGGGGGGGGGGGGGGGGGGGGGGGGGGGTAGAAGGATTCCTTTATCCTATCCCAGGTATTCCTTAAAGAGGTGGGGTTTCAAATGTCTCCGGAAGGTGGTGAGTGACTCCGCTGTCCTGGCGTCGTGAGGGAGCTTGTTCCACCATTGGGGTGCCAGAGCAGCGAACAGTTTTGACTGGGCTGAGCGGGAACTATGCTTCCGCAGAGGAAGGGGAGCCAGCAGGCCAGAGGTGGATGAGCGCAATGCCCTCGTTTGGGTGTAGGGACTGATCAGAGCCTGAAGGTACAGAGGTGCCGTTCCCCTCACTGCTCCATAGGCAAGCACCATGGTCTTGTAGCGGATGCGAGCTTCAACTGGAAGCCAGTGGAGTGTGCGGAGGAGGGGGGGTGACGTGAGAGAACTTGGGAAGGTTGAACACCAGACGGGCTGCGGCATTCTGGATGAGTTGTAGGGGTTTAATGGCACAGGCAGGGAGGCCAGCCAACAGCGAGTTGCAGTAGTCCAGACGGGAGAGGACAAGCGCCTGGACCAGGACCTGTGCCGCTTCCTGTGTAAGGCAGGGTCGTACTCTCCGAATGTTGTAGAGCATGAACCTGCAGGAGCGGGTCACCGCCTTGATGTTGGCGGAGAACGACAGGGTGTTGTCCAGGGTCACGCCTAGGCTCTTCGCACTCTGGGAGGAGGACACAGCGGAGTTGTCAACCGTGATGGCGAGATCATGGAACGGGCAGTCCTTCCCCGGGAGGAAGAGCAGCTCCGTCTTGCCAGGGTTCAGCTTGAGGTGGTGATCCGTCATCCATACTGATATGTCTGCCAGACATGCAGAGATGCGATTCGCCACCTGGTTATCAGAAGGGGGAAAGGAGAAGATTAGTTGTGTATCGTCAGCGTAGCAATGATAGGAGAGACCATGTGAGGATATGACAGAGCCAAGTGACTTGGTGTATAGGGAGAAAAGGAGAGGGCCTAGAACTGAGCCTTGGGGGACACCAGTGGTGAGAGCACGTGGTGCGGAGACAGCTTCTCGCCACGCCACTTGGTAGGAGCGACCGGTCAGGTAGGACGCAATCCAGGAGTGAGCCGCGCCGGAGATGCCCAGCTCGGAGAGGGTGGAGAGGAGGATCTGATGGTTCACAGTATCAAAGGCAGCAGACAGGTCTAGAAGGACAAGAGCAGAGGAGAGAGAGTTAGCTTTAGCAGTGCGGAGAGTCTCCGTGACACAGAGAAGAGCAGTCTCAGTTGAATGACCAGTCCTGAAACCTGACTGGTTTGGATCAAGAAGGTCATTCTGAGAGAGATAGCAAGAGAGTTGGCTAAAGACGGCACGCTCAATAGTTTTGGAAAGAATAGAAAGAAGGGATACTGGTCTGTAGTTGTTGACATCAGTGGGGTCGAGTGTTGGTTTTTTGAGAAGGGGAGTAACTCTCGCTCTCTTGAAGACGGAAGGGACATGGCCAGCGGTCAAGGATGAGTTGATCAGCGAGGTGAGGTAGGGGAGAAGGTCACCGGAGATGGTCTGGAGAAGGGAGGAGGGGATGGGGTCAAGCGGGCAGGTTGTTGGGCGGCCTGCAGTCACAAGTCGCAGGATTTTATCTGGAGAGAGAGGGGAGAAAGATTTGTTTTCTAAAATGTAAATTTGTTTTCTAAAATGTAAATTTGTTTTCTAAACTGTAAATTTGTTTTCTAAAATTTAAATTTGTTTTCTAAAATGTTAATTTGTTTTATAAAATGTAAATTTGTTTTATAAAATGTAAATTTGTTTTATAAAATGTAAATTTGTTTTATAAAATGTAAATTTGTTTTCCAAAATGTTAATTTGTCTCGAGCTTTGTAAAAGGGTTTCATTCTTTGTAATGTTGCTTTGCACTTCCCGGCCACCGTATGTAAGGGACGGGTCGCCAACTGGCGGTTTTACACAAAAATACAAATTCATTAATTAGTTCATTCATACAGCCACACCTAATTGCAGAGAAACTCATTGGTGTGGGAGTAAACAGGTGACTTGTAAAGTGGGTTAATTACTAGGTGCACTTACACAGGTGCACCACAAGGCTGCGTGCTCTCTCCATTACTCTACACCCTCTGTACCAATGACTGCAGGGCACTAAAACAGTCACACCACTTCATCAAGTATGCCAGTCCACCATAGCCAGACTTCCCCAGAGGGTTTCACTAGAGAGGTCTCCCATTTCACCAGCTGATGTGAAGATACTCATCTGGAGATAAATGTCAAGAAAAAACACAAGACAGGGTGATGAACTTCTAAGGAAGTTGAACTCCATGTTTACCGGACCTTGATCATCATGAGGAAGTTGAACTCCATGTTTACCGGACCTTGATCATCCTGGTTTTACAGAGCTGTCCAGAGCATCCCCTCGTTCTGCCTCACATGTGTAGACCTATACAGCAACGTTCATGTCCTGGTCCTCTGTAGCTTCGTTGGTAGCACATGGTGCTTGCAACGCCAGGATTGTGGGTTTGATTCTCAGGACCAGCCTTATGTAAAATGCATGAACGCATGACTGTAAGTCGCTTTAGATAAAAACGTATGCCAAATGGCTTATTATTAGTATTATTTCTTTATAAGAAGCAGGATAAAAATGTCAGACAAGCCAGCAGAATTACTGGCAGTGCCCAATTGTCTGTCTATGAGCTCTACACAAACCTGATGGATGATGCGAGCCACCCCGCCATGGAAGCCTTGTTTATACACTAAGAGGGGGAGCCGCAGTCTTCTGCGGCTCAAAATCCACACCCAAAGACATGGAAGTCATTTTAACCCAAAGACATGGAAGTCATTTTAAATAAAAGACGTGGAAGTCATTTTAATACAAGCACGCCCCCTCCCTGGCAGATCAGGAGCCACCTTGTTTTTCTTCTTGTGGCTGTGTGTAAGCAATGAGAAATTGAAACAATACAGGTCTATCTGTTCCTCCAGTTTATCTTTATCCCATGTCCTTGACCAGCTGCAGGGAGCTAAAGGGAACCATCCTTACGAAAAGCACAGCATTGGTAGTTAAGAAATGTCTCTACTATTGTTAAGCGTATCAATTGTTAACCATTAATATTAAACAAATCAGGTAAATATGTGATCTTTCTCTCACAGCATAATACACTATATATATTCCCCATCACAGAGAACACCGATTAGAGCCAATGGCATTTAACCAGAATTACACTTTCCATTAGAATAGCCTAACAAATGGAAAGCTGTGGTGAATAGGGAAATGGCTCACAGCCAAAGCAACGTGTGTACTGCGGGGGGTGCTTGTACACATATTACATCATAGCTTACTGTAGAGTACAATTGGTCAGCAATCTTGGCAGCTTTCAGGTATATAAGAAGACCATTACATGATTTGTTTTACAGAAGCTGAAAACCCTGGTTAAAATAGTGATATTCTGAGGTAAGAAACTTTAACCAACTCTGATAGCTTAAGTCCCCGGTGCGGTAAGATTTGAGTACCCTGGTCTTATCTTATTGCTGCTTTGTTATGGTTTTTGCACCAGCGCATCAGACATGATCATGTTTCCATTTGCAATTATTGAATCAATTGTAATTGATGAAATACCAATTTACTTAATCTAGCATGATAAAGGATCATGTGGGTAGCATTACCTAGTTAGTATGACAGAGGATCATGTGGGTAGCATTACCTAGTTAGTATGACAGAGGATCATGTGGGTAGCATTACCTAGTTAGTATGACAGAGGATCATATGGGTAGCATTACCTAGTTAGTATGATAGAGGATCATGTGGGTAGCATTACCTAGTTAGTATGATAGAGGATCATGTGGGTAGCATTACCTAGTTAGTATGACAGAGGATTATGTGGGTAACATTGACTTAAACTAGCAAGTATGATATAAGTTAATGTGGGTAGCATTGACTTAACCTAGTTTGTATGATAGAGGATCATGTGGGTAGCATTACCAAATTAGTATGATAAAGGTCATGTGGGTAGCAATACCTAGTTAGTATGATAGAGGTTCATGTGGGTAGCAATACCTAGTTAGTATGGTAGAGGTTCAGGTGGGTAGCATTGACTTAACCTGTATGATAGAGGTTCATGTGGGTAGCATTACCTAGTTAGTATGATAAAGGATGATGTGGGTAGCATTACCTAGTTAGTATGATAAAGGATGATGTGGGTAACATTTGGAATCATGAAATAGCCAACATGTCAGGTTGTGTAATTTGTACAGGAGCACTGAACTTTTAATTACACTGGTGAACTTGCAGCACCCACCCTTATATATGTTCTACATGTGTTGCCATGTTTCATCATTTTCAATTACATTTTTGATTTGGATGTTAACATTTATTACATGAATAAGACATTTAAATAATATAAAGCAATTTCTGGAAAGACACATTTGCAAAACTATGGAAAGTAGCCTAAATATGCTGAAGGATGTGCTTTTTATAAATTTGCATAGTAGTTTTGCATATCTGTTATGTTGTCAGCACTTAATAATGCACTATGCTATTCATATTTCGGCTCCACCTATTAGTATTTCATAATTTCACCCTGCTAACAGATCCTGCATACAGTACAACAATGCCTCCTCCCGGTGTGTGCATGAGTATAATGCAGGAGCGCCACAAGAAAGAGGGTGTTGGGAGCCTTGCCAACCCAGAGAAACACAGCAACCAAGACTTCCAGCAGCTGAAGCAATACTGTTTGGTCAGGGGGGTAAGGTATATCGATGAGATGTTCCCCCCAGACCACAACTCCATTGGTGATGGGCTACTTTCCCCTGATGACATGGGCAGGGTGGTGTGGTTGAGACCAGCGGTATGTTCAAGTCTTCATTCAGATCTGCACACATTACAACACAGGGTATTAACTGATTTTATTTGTAATTATGAATAGTAATTATAAATATTATTAATAGGTGTAACGTGTGTATTCACTCTTCCAGAAAATGGTACGGAATCCAGATTTTATTGTTGATGGACTTTCAAGGTTTGACTTTGGGCAAGGAATAGTTGGTAAGTGGATTTGGTTGTAAACAAGCGTCAACATATACCACACCGTGCCCCTTGCATTACAAATGTCATGATGTACAACATTTCTTTTAGGAAATTGCTGGTTTCTTGCTTCCATTGGGGCTTTGACGTTACAGAAGCACATCCTGGAGCAAGTAGTGCCCCTAAAGCAAAGCTTTAAAGATGACTATTGCGGAATATTCCACTTCCGGGTAAATAACCTCAGCCTCAGTACATTATCTTTGTGAGAAATGCATTGACCTATTGCAATAACTGTCATTCTTAAAGGATTATTAATACATTGAAAAGGTTCTCAGTGGTATTGAGAATTATTAAATGACCATGAATTACGCTCTACACTTATGCTGCACCTTTCTCAAGCCCCATAGAGAATAGTCTGTTTTAGGAATCATTGTCCTCTCCTCCTATCTTTCAGTTCTGGAGGTTTGGGAGGTGGGTGGACGTTGTGATCGATGACAAGCTACCAACAGTTGACGGCAGGCTCATTTTCGTTCATTCAAAAACTCCCAATGAGTTTTGGCCCGCCTTGCTGGAGAAAGCCTACGCCAAGTATGTGAGCCACATCAGTTGGTTATAAGACAGTTAAACAACTCCTCAATGTAGGACTTAATGACCTGTCTTCTTCTGGCAGGGTGTGTGGCTCCTACGCAGACATGAATTTAGGGACCCCTTCAGAGGCTATGATGGACTTCACTGGAGGGGTTCACATCACGTTCAAGCTCACTGACGCTCCACCAAATATGTGGGACCTCCTGTTCAGAGCTGCCAAGTCAAAATCTCTGATGGGGTGTAACACACCTCAAGGGGTGAGCGGCACTACCACCCTCCGAAACACCATGTTGAACCTTTAAACAAACCAGTTGGTAGAGAGCGCCATATTAGTGTCAGTAATGCATGTGTAACGCACTGATGTCAAGATCTAAGGGAATATGAGTTATTAGGGCGAAGTTGAAGTTAAGATTCATCCTTTAACTTGTAAAACACAAAAGAGATGAAGGTTGTGTTCATATTGTTCATATTCAGCCGTGTCCTATTTTGTGACTGAAACCTCTGTTATGTTATGGTCCGATTAGTTTACTTATGATACCTAATAACCTGTGTCTGTTGTAATGTAGGAAACATCAGCGAACACGGTGGCACCCAACGGATTAGTGAGGGGACATGCCTACACCGTCACAGGAGTTAGACAGGTACTGTATGGAACTAACTATGTGAGGGAAAAGGTTTGGAGCTAATATCTTTTGGCAGTATGCTCTCTATTCTTTACTGCCAAGAAAAAAACATTGTTCGGTTCGTCAGAATAGAGCCAAATATTGACTGTAGTTCCACCCGGAGGGAAATGGGAGAGGATGTGTGGTATAGCTTCTGCAATGATGTAAAATGAACCCAGTCTTGAGTTGGTCTCATGGTCTTGTGATGAGGCAGCCTTGCCGCCTGAGACTTCAAAATCAGTGTCAGCCTTCGGTCCGCCATGGAATTCCTTCCTAGCTTCTACAATGATGGAAAATGAACCCAGTCTTGAGTTGGTCTCATTAATTTTTATATATATTTTTTTTTTTAGTCATTTAGCAATCAAATGGGAATCGAACCCACAACCCTGGCATTGCAAACGCCATGCTCTATCAACTGAGCTACATCCCTGCCGGCCTTTCCCTCCCCTACCCTGAGCCAATTGTGCGCCGCCCATGAGTCTCCCGGTCGCGGCCGGCTGCGACATAGCCTGGATTCGAACCAGGATCTCTAGTGGCACAGTTAGCACTGCGATGCAGTGCCTTAGACCACTGCGCCACTCAGGAGTTCATGGTCTTGTGATGAGGCAGCCTTGCCTGAGACTTCAAAATCAGTGTCAGCCTTCGGTCCACCTTGGAATTCCTCTTGGATATAATGGTTAAGATGCTGGTTGGTTCCATCGGGGACCCCGGGTTCATTTCCTGCTGTGAGATTACAAGCTGGTGTCTCGTATGAAAAAGTATGAAAATGTATGCACTCACTAACTGTAAGTCGCTCTGGATAAGAGCGTCTGCTAAATGACTAAAATGTCAAATGTAAAATGTGTCATTCTGGTTTCTTCCACAGATCATGAGACAAGGCAGGCAAGTGAATCTGATACGCCTCTTCAACCCCTGGGGCCAGGAAGAGTGGAAGGGAGGCTGGAGTGATACGTAAGAACTCAATATTCACAACAGATAACTTGTTTATTAGATTCTTCCTCAGTATATGTGATTGTTCTGTTTTGCTGTATCCACAGTACAGTTTACATATTTTGTTTATATATATATATATATATACACTACTGGTCAAAAGTTTTAGAACACCTATTCATTCAAGGGTTTTTGTACTATTTTCTACATTGTAGAATAATAGTGAAGACATCAAAACTATTTCCTTCTTAATGCATTTGAGCCAATCAGTTATGTTGTGACAAGGTAGGGGGGTATACAGAAGATAGCCCTATTTGGTAAAATACAATTTTATGGCAAGAACTGCTCAAATAAGCAAAGAGAAACGACAGTCCATCATTACTTTAAGAAATGAAGGTCAGTCAATATGGAACATTTCAAGAACTTTGAAAGTTTCTTCAAGAGTAGTCGCAAAAACCATCAAGCACTATGATGAAACTGGCTCTCATGTGGACCGCTACAGGAATGGAAGACCCAGAGTTACCTCTGCTGCAGAGGATAAGTTCATTAGAGTTACCAGCCTCAGAAAATGCAGCCCAAATAATTGCTTCACAGAGTTCAAGTAACAGACACATCTCAACATCAACTGTTCAGAGGAGACTATATGAATCAGGCCTTCATGGTCGAACTGCTGCAAAGAAACCACTACTAAAGGACACCAATAAGAAGAAGAGACCTTCTTGGGCCAAGAAACACGAGAAATTGGCATTAGACTGTTGGAAATCTGTCATTTGGTCTGGAGTTGAAATTTGAGATTTTTGGTTCCGACCGCTGTGTCTTTGTGAGACGCGGTGTGGGTGAACGGATGATCTCTGCATGTGTATTTCCCACCGTAAAGCATGGAGGAGGAGGTGTTATGGTGTGGAGGTGCTTTGCTGGTGACACTGTCTGTGATTCATTTAGAATTCAACACTTAACCAGCATGGCTACCACAGCATTCTGCAGCGACACGCCATCCTATCTGGTTTGGGCTTAGTGGGACTATCATTTGTTTTTCAACAGGACAGTGACCCAACACACCTCCAGGCTGTGTAAGGGCTATTTTACCAAGAAGGAGAGTGATGGAGTGCTGCATCAGATGACCTGGCCTCCACAGTCCCCAGACCTCAACCCAATTGAGATTGTTTGGGATGAGTCGGACCGCAGAGTGAAGCAAAAGCAGCCAACAAGTGCTCAGCTTATGTGGGAACTCCTTCAAGACTGTTGGAAAAGCATTCCAGGTGAAGCTGGTTGAGAGAATGCCTAAAGTGTGCAAAGCTGTCATCAAGGCAAAGGGTGGCTACTTTGAAGAATCTAAAATATAAAATATATTTTGATTTGTTTAACACTTTTTTGGTTGCTACATGATTCCATATGTGTTTTTTCATAGTTTGGATGTCTTCACTATTATTCTACAACGTAGAAAATAGTAAAAATAAAGAAAAACTCTGGATTACTACCACTAACTAACATTACAGTGTCTGACTATTGACATGATGTCTGTACTTCAATCAGGTCCTCCATGTGGCAAACAGTGAGTCCTGACGAACGGAAGATGTGTCTGTCAGTGAAAGAGGATGGGGAATTCTGGTAAGCAATATAGTGCAGAAATGTGTTCGCAGACCATGTCAATATTTTATTGTAAGCGATTAACACATTCAATACAGTGTCAGTACACAGCTATACTGATGTTTCAATACCAGTACCAATTACAGTGTCAGTACACAGCTATACTGATATTTCAATACCAGTACCAATTACAGTGTCAGTACACAGCTATACTGATGTTTCAATACCAGTACCAATTACAGTGTCAGTACACAGCTATACTGATGTTTCAATACCAGTCCCAATTACAGTGTCAGTACACAGCTATACTGATGTTTCAATACCAGTACCAATTACAGTGTCAGTACACAGCTATACTGATGTTTCAATACCAGTACCAATTATAGTGTCAGTACACAGCTATACTGATGTTTCAATACCAGTACCAATTACAGTGTCAGTACACAGCTATACTGATGTTTCAGTACCAATTACAGTGTCAGTACACAGCTATACTGATGTTTCAATACCAGTACCAATTACAGTGTCAGTACACAGCTATACTGATGTTTCAATACCAGTACCAATTACAGTGTCAGTACACAGCTATACTGATGTTTCAATACCAGTACCAATTCACAATTTAGTTGTCTTCTCAGGATGACAATGGAAGACTTCTGTCAGCACTTCATCGATGTGACTATCTGCTGTCTGTGTCCTGATTTTCTTGACGGCAACTCTGAAGGTCATTGGACGCCCTCCTTCCATGATGGCAGATGGGTTGCAGGAACCACTGCTGGTGGTAGCATGAATTTCCCAGGTACATTACATCTTGATTGATAGGTTTTGCTTTCAACAAGGAATAATTAGCAGTTGATGACTATACATTTCCAGAATTTACCGTCAACATATCCATATTTTTTTGTCTCTCAGACAGTTTCTGGACAAATCCCCAGTATCGGGTGAAGATTGAGGGATTAGACAGGGACTGCTCTGAGACACAGGGGGACAACAACATGTTGGTGTCTCTGATGCAGAAGCCTGACAAGAGAAACAGACGCCTGGTCAAAAGTCTCCACATTGGCATCAACATCTTCGAGGTCAGTGCCCTTCTTTGGTTCCTTTCATTATTCTGTATACAGTTTATCTCAACATTTACAGATTGAAGCAAAGCTAAGTGCTTCCTCTGAGGCCTTTGTTACAGGTAGGACTGTTATGTTGCCATCAACTGTCATATCAGTAATGTAAGTTACACTGGAGATCTCTTTGTAAGTTCCCCTTACGTATGTTGTCACTGTGCAGTTCTCAATGCAAATATGCCCATTTGTGAACCTACATGTATGATGTCATCCCAGAGGAAGAAATTCAACAGCCCAGATATGCTATTGTTTCTGCTATTGAATTGTATTTGTTTTACTTTCTAACAGGTGCCTGCCCAAGTAAGTAACTTTTATACATCATTTTCACAAATAATAATAATAATATAATAATAATAATATAATAATATAATATAATAATATAATAATAATAAGGTTATACTAGTTAGAGAGGCCACTAGAGTATCTGGCCAATATAACGGATCCTCACATGTGGTGGAACTGGCTTCAAGGTCTGGATTTGAATTTGAAATGGCCTACAGCCTTATGTAAATCATTATATATTATTGTGATCTCAGTTCAAAGGCCAGAGGGGGAAGTTTCCTGCCTCCTTCTTCAACACCAATGTGCCTGTCGCCCAATCCAAGAACTACGTGAACGCTCGGACAGTGGTGCTATTCTCCAGGCTGAAACCTGGTGAATACCTGATTGTGCCATCATCCTTCAAACCAAATGAAACCGCCTCCTTCATCCTGTCCATCCTCTCCAAAGTGAAGTCCCAAATCCAGTAAGCACAGCCCCCCCCCCCCCCCCCCATTAATAGTAAAGGGATTGTTCATCCAAGTTACAACATTTCATATTGGTTTCTGTACCAATGAAGTTAGTTTAAGATGATTTGGACATGAAGCGTGAATAATATATCCAAAGCATGGATTGCTGTCCTAGTTCGTCCATAGACGGCTTACAGGGAAGCCAATACGGAATTTTGTAACTTGGGTGAACTATGTCCTTAATTAATGTCACAGGTAAGAAATTATATTTAGATTTTTGACAGTCAGTGATCATAGCCAACATTAGGACCGGGATTCAATTCCCATCGCGCCTGTAAACAATGAACCATTTAAAGGTAATTTTCAATTGAGCCGAGATCTGCAATGTTTTACTGTGAATGCAATCTCTGCGAACGCGGTAACTTTGCCTTTAAAATCCGCATTATCAACAACCCGCGACGAGATTGAATCCTGGCCTGAGTTTCACTATAATTTATGTTTTCCTGACAGAAACAAAACAGTCTTCACTTTTTTCCTCAGTGAAAATTCGAATGACCAAGATATGGAGGAAATCCCAAAGGTATTTAAGGCAAACGGTATTTCAGCTCTCATATGTATTTCTGTTAATCTTTAGCTATTTCTCTTCATTTTTTTCTTATTGCAATATATTTAAATTTTTAGCCCACGCCTACTCACAATAAAGAAGATATGGACAACAAACAAACTCTGTTTCGGCAATATTCTGATCAGGCAAGTTACCAATATTTTTCATTTGAACACAAAACGAGGCAATGTGAAATTAAAACACATAACCTGAAAAAAGGGATAGCATTTGAGAATATTACAATTTTTTTAACAATTGTTAAACTATATACAGAATATATATATATATATATATAAAAAATCAATAACACTAATTTTATTTTCACTGAAAAGTTTGAGGAGGTGGATGCCGAACAACTTCAAAGGACTCTGAATGAAACTCTCCTCCAGGGTATGTAGAGAGAAAATCAATCATCATGGAGATTTCCAGACATTTATGACCAAAAGCTGGACTTTGAACAGACTGACATTAGTTGTGATGAGATTAGAATCACTCACAAGGATATGGTGGGTGTTTGGTGAGCAATGTGTTGCTTGGTGGGATCTGTACGTTTTTTTTTTTTTATGTGTCAACCTTTTCACATTTTACACAGGAAATGCAAAGAAAACACAAGGCTTCAGCTTGGAGTCCTGTCGAAGCATGGTGGCCTTAATGGATGTATCCTTCATGAGCTTAGTGACAGTTTACCGTGTCTTCTGTTGTAAAACACCTTGAACAGTACTTTACAAGAGTAAAGCGTTAAACACTCCCACGTAACAGTAAAATCTGTGAATGAATGTAGGAGTTTTGGCAAGGACTCTTAGGCCCTGTTTATACCTGGCGCTAACATGCACCCTTTGTCCTGATTGTTTCTACATTCTGATTGTGCCCACATTTGTAGACTGGTGTATGCTATTAAAATACACATTGTGATCTGACAGCGATCAGATCTTCCTGACCACCTCCGGAGGTAGTCAGGCATGCATTGTGTCTGGATATCCTACAAATTTAGACGGATCTGGACAGTGAAACCATTTAAATTATAATTATCCTGCCTTCTTAAATTATTGACAGGTGGCACGATTGACTTATGACATCAATGTGTCTTAAAATAAATAACTGCATAACATTTTGAAAGAATATCCGTCAAATGATTTGCATACAGGGAGGGACCAGGAAATGTGGTCACAATGCAGACATAGTGGACGGATATGAGACAATACCATACAAACTGGTTAAATCAACGTCATTTGTCAATGTACTGTGACGTGGAATCTACGTGGAAAATACGTTGGATTTGAAAAAGGTCTGTTGCACTGTTGTTTTGAGGGTCAAATTTCCACAGGATTATCAATCAATAAATTAAATTTGATTTGTAAAAACCTTTTTACCTCAGCAGATGTCAAAAAGTGCTATACAGAAACCCAGCCTAAAACCCCAAACAGCAAGCAATGCAGATGTAGAAGGAAGATGGCTAGGAAAAACTCCCTAGAAAGGCAGAAACCTAGGAAGAATATGTCATTACGGTAACCAATTTTCAACATAGACAAACCTTGTATACAATATGTTGAATTTGTACCATTTAAACAACGTCAGATCTTCAGCGTAATATCCACTATAAGAAAAAAAACAATAGACTGGGCAGCGCCTCCTACTGGGGAGTTGACCCATCTACAGCACCTCCTACTGGGGAGTTGATCCATCTACAGCACCTCCTCCTGGAGAGTTGATCCATCTACAGCACCTCCTACTGGGGAGTTGATCCATCTACAGCACCTCCTACTGGGGAGTTGATCCATCTACAGCACCTCCTCCTGGGGAGTTGATCCATCTACAGCACCTCCTACTGGGGAGTTGATCCATCTACAGCACCTCCTCCTGGGGAGTTGATCCATCTACAGCACCTCCTACTGGGGAGTTGATCCATCTACAGCACCTCCTCCTGGGGAGTTGATCCATCTACAGCACCTCCTCCTGGAGAGTTGATCCATCTACAGCACCTCCTCCTGGGGAGTTGATCCATCTACAGCACCTCCTACTGGGGAGTTGATCCATCTATAGCACCTCCTACTGGGGAGTTGATCCATCTACAGCACCTCCTACTGGTGAGTTGATCTATCTACAGCACCTCCTCCTGGGGAGTTGATCCATCTACAGCACCTCCTACTGGGGAGTTGATCCATCTACAGCACCTCCTCCTGGGGAGTTGATCTATCTACAGCACCTCCTCCTGGGGAGTTGATCTATCTACAGCACCTCCTACTGGGGAGTTGATCTATCTAAAGCACCTCCTCCTGGGGAGTTGTCCATCTACAGCACCTCCTCCTGGAGAGTTGATCTATCTACAGCACCTCCTACTGGGGAGTTGATCCATCTACAGCACCTCCTACTGGGGAGTTGATCCATCTACAGCACCTCCTCCTGGATAGTTGATCCATCTACAGCACCTCCTACTGGGGAGTTGATATATCTACAGCACCTCCTACTGGGGAGTTGATCCATCTACAGCACCTCCTCCTGGGGAGTTGATCCATCTACAGCTACCCTTTGGTCTACCAGTCAGGGCTATAACGAAGCCCCAGCCCTGCTTATCAAATAACATCTAATTTTATTGGTTGCATATACATATTTTGCAGATGTTATCCTAGCGCCAACAGGGCAGCAATACCTAGCTAAATGCTTGTGTTCCTAGCTCCAACAGGGCAGTAATACCTAACAATACACAACAATACACGACGACCCCACAACATAAAGAAAGGAGTACAGAATACAAATATATACAGTGAGGGAAAAAAGTATTTGAGCACCTGCTGATTTTGTACGTTTGCCCACTGACAAAGAAATGAGCAGTCTATAATTTTAATGGTAGGTTTATTTGAACAGTGAGAGACAGAATAACAACAAAAAAATCCAGAAAAACGCATGTCAAAAATGTTATGAATTGATTTGCATTTTAATGAGGGAAATAAGTATTTGAACCCTCTGCAAAACATGACTTAGTACTTGGTGGCAAAACCCTTGTTGGCAATCACAGAGGTCAGAAGTTTCTTGTAGTTGGCCACAAGGTTTGCACACATCTCAGGAGGGATTTTGTCCCACTCCTCTTTGCAGATCTTCTCCAAGTCATTAAGGTTTCGAGGCTGACATTTGGCAACTCTAACCTTCAGCTCCCGCCACAGATTTTCTATTGGATTAAGGTCTAGTGACTGGCTAGGCCACTCCAGGACCTTAATGTGCTTCTTCTTGAGCCACTCCTTTGTTGCCTTAGCCGTGTGTTTTGGGTCATTGTCATGCTGGAATACCCATCCACGTCCTATTTTCAATGCCCTGGCTGAGGGAAGGAGGTTCTCACCCAAGATTTGACGGTACATGGCCCCGTCCATCGTCCCTTTGATGCAGTGAAATTGTCCTGTCCCCTTAGCAGAAAAACACCCCCAAAGCATAATGTTTCCACCTCCATGTTTGACGGTGGGGATTGTGTTCTTGGGGTCATAGGCAGCATTCCTCCTCCTCCAAACACAGTGAGTTGAGTTGCTGCCAAAGAGCTCCATTTTGGTCTCATCTGACCACAAAACTTTCACCCAGTTCTCCTCTGAATCATTCAGATGTTCATTGGGAAACTTCAGACAGGCATGTATATGTGCTTTCTTGAGCAGGGGGACCTTGCGGGCGCTGCATGATTTCAGTCCTTCACGGCGTAGTGTGTTACCAATTGTTTTCTTGGTGACTATGGTCCCAGCTGCCTTGAGATTGTCGTAGAAATATTTGACTCAAAAAGTAGTCAACTTAAAATATTTCTCAACAGACTGGAACTTGTGAATTTAGACTTTTATTATTTGCATAACAAAGCCGAGCTTGCTCCATGGAGCAACAACTGTCTCTCTTTGGCTTAGAGCTCCCTTTTATACACACAAATGCATAATCATGTTTCATAGCATATACAGTCCCTCCCCTTAGGGCAAATGATTAACTTATTTTAGTGCCACTCTACCCTTATCTGTCAACGTCCAGATGTCACCTGTAATTCACTCCAAAAGGTCATGGGTGCTTTTCCACAGGAAGCCTCTTCCCTAATCTTATTATATTGGTAGCAGACCCTTTCCCTATTCTCATTATATGGTTGCAGACCCTTTCTTTACAAATAATACACGTACATACATTAAGGCATTTATCATTTACCATCCTCCCTGGCCCTTGAGGCTATGTGCATGTGGCCATGTGTCAGGTCATAGGGTCATAAGCAAAACAAATGATAACACTAGGTCCATTGTTACTCCAATCTCCACACAGCCATCACATGTCATTGACATACCCAGACCAGCTGCAGGGAGTTTATGAAAAACACATAAATGTCTCTGCTCTGTATTAACCCTTCAACTGGTTCTCAATCCATAAACATTTTAAGGCATATAGGTGTTTAATTCTACAACATATGTACTTGAAAATCATCCATAAGATCATTGACAAGATCCTCCCGTGTAGTTCTGGGCTGATTCCTCACCGTTCTCATGATCATTGCAACTCCACGAGGTGAGATCTTGCATGGAGCCCCAAGCCGAGGGAGATTGACAGTTATTTTGTGTTTCTTCCATTTGCGAATAATCGCACCAACTGTTGTCACCTTCTCACCAAGCTGCTTGGCGATGGTCTTGTAGCCCATTCCAGCCTTGTGTAGGTCTACAATCTTGTCCCTGACATCCTTGGAGAGCTCTTTGGTCTTGGCCATGGTGGAGAGTTTGGAATCTGAATGATTGATTGCTTCTGTGGACAGGTGTCTTGTATACAGGTAACAAGCTGAGATTAGGAGCACTCCCTTTAAGAGTGTGCTCCTAATCTCAGCTCGTTACCTGTATAAAAGACACCTGGGAGCCAGAAATCTTTCTGATTGAGAGGGGGTCAAATACTTATTTCCCTCATTAAAATGCAAATCAATTTAAAACATTTTTGACATGCATTTTTCTGAATTTTTATTGTTGTTAATCTGTCTCTCACTGTTCAAATAAACCTTCCATTCAAATTATAGACTGATCATTTCTTTGTCAGTGGGCAAACATACAAAATTAGCAGGGGATCAAATACTTTTTTCCCTCACTTGCGAAAGTATTCACCCCACTTGGCATTTTTCCTATTTTGTTGCCTTACAACCTGGAATTAAAATTATTTTTTTAGGGTGGTTTGTATCATTTCATTTACAGAACATGCCTACCACTTTGAAGATGCAAAATATTTTATATTGTGAAACAAACAAGAAATACGACAAAAAAACAGAAAACTTGAGCGCGCATAACTATTCACACCTCCAAAGTCAATACTTTGTAGAGCCACCTTTTGCAGCAATTACAGCTGCAAGTCTCTTGGGGTATGTCTCTATAAACTTGGCACATCTAGCCACTGGGATTTTTGCCCATTCTTCAAGGCAAAACTGCTCCAGCTCCTTCAAATTGGATGGGTTCCACTGGTGTACAGCAATCATTAAGTCATACCACAAAATCTCAATAGGATTGAGGTCTGGGCTTTGACTAGGCCATTCCAAGACATTTAAATGTTTCCCCTTAAACCACTTGAGTGTTGCTTTAGCAGTATGCTTAGGGTCATTGTCCTGCTGGAAGGGGAACCTCCGTCCCAGTCTCAAATCTCTGGAAGACTGAAACAGGTTTCCCTCAAGAATTACCCTGTATTTAGCCCCATCCATCATTTCTTAAATTCTGACCAGTTTCCCAGTCCCTGCCGATGAA